TGAGGGAAAGAGAGAAACCATTCCATGCAGCAGATGTCTAACAGATGCTACTCCTAGCACGTACTGCATTGCTGGACGATGGCCAGATGCAGTGGTGATAGCATGGCTATTACTGTGATAGAGCAGAATAAGAGATATGTAAGTGATGTGTTAGCTTCCCCGCCCCCCACCTGGTCCACAGAAATGGGAAGGAGGAAGAGGTTCTTAAGTCTGTCAACTATCTACATCATCATATACAATGGTTCCAAAGAGCCATTTAGAAAATAGCAGAATAGCAGTGCATGTTTGAATATGTTAAATACTGTGCTGTCCACCCAATCTAGACCACACCAGGGCTCAGATAATCTGAAATCCAGTTCACAAAACCCACCTCCTTTCCGTCTCCATATCCCAGGACAAATTTGCCAAGAATACACACCTCCAGAAGCCAAGTGAAATCACTGTAGAGGAAAGGGTAATTCCTCTCACCTAATCTTAGCCATCAAGAAGCCAAACACCTAGGTGAAGGCAGTCATCTAGACTCCTTCATAGTTAACAAAAATAAAGGCAGTTCTAGAATGCATTTGTCCTACTCAGTTTGAGCAAAGTGAGATGAATCCCACCCATAATGTTTGGGGTCATCTAGCGAGTTGGTGTTAAAGCCCAGATATAAAACTCATCTCTTGATTTCAGGTGTTGAGTTTTGCCACTTGACTTCTCATCAGTTCCTTTGGAAAGTTAATCTGAGAAACCACATACTTTTCTAACGGTAAAGATGATGTTCCCTGTCTGAAAAACACATTTTCATTTTAGGAGGTAGGAAGGTATTTTTCAGACAAATCACTGGCTAGAGGTTGGGGAAAAATGCTTCTGGTGGTGGCTGTCCCTCCGGGGCACACCCTGCGTCGGAAAGCACAGGGAATGAGTAGTTACTGTAACTGAGTTATGCAGGGTATAAATATCCCTTGTGCTCCGTACGTGTGTGCCTTACTTTACTATCCACAGCACAAATCTCACCTGCAACTCTGAAAGCTGTCTTAAAAGAGGCGATGCCCCTTAAACATTAGTCATTTCCATGTGTAGGAAATGTGACTGTTTTGCACGTGATTGCATTTTAAAACAGAAGTCATTGCACAGAATACAGAACAGATTCGGTACGAACGTTCTAAAATAAATTAACTTTAATTTCTTTTGTGTTTTTTAAAGGTCAAATGCTGCAAATACTGGCCAGATGACACAGAGATATATAAAGACATTAAAGTTACCCTAATAGAAACAGAGCTCCTGGCTGAATATGTGATTCGAACATTTGCAGTAGAAAAGGTAAGTTTCCAAATGTAGTTTCCTTAAATACAATGGTATCTGCCTAAGTAACTTAGATTCAGCATGGGAAAGTTAAATCGTTTGACTGACATCCCGGGTTTGTAGCTACTTTTTGGGTAAACGACTACCGCCCTCTTATGGTAGACTGTGCTTTTCTTTAAATGCAGCAACTTTTCTGCGCTTTCCATCACCGTTGGCCCCTGCCTGAGTTAGAAAAAGTGATGTTCCTAGCCTAGGAGAAATCGAAGCCTCCCTCCAGCAATCAATTGAAAAACACATTCGTGCTGTTTTCCATCTTATGTTCCCCACAATCATTTTCTGTCTGTACCAGAGGCTGCATGCACCATTATTCAGACAGTCCATGGTGGAGAATACTGTTAGCTGTTGGGCCGGTGTGTTCCTGGTCTGCAGGGACATAGTTAAACTAATTTTCTTCTAAAGGCAATTTCAGTTTCCATGTGGAATCCATATTTATATGGAGCATTCCAATCAGTGTGTTGTCTTACTGTTTATTAGAATAATGCCCTGACTTTGTTTGATGCTCTTGTAGCTCTCCCAAACAGCTTACAGTATATGGATAACATACAATTAACAAACAAGGTACTTAGTGAAAATGAGAAAAGCAGGGTCAGTCAGAGCTGAAGTGTGTCATGCATTTTTGTTTCAATTCAGGGGTTTTATTCAGGCTTCATTAAAGGACAGAAGTGTTTTAATTGTATGTATCAAGACTCATTTGAGTTGCACAACAATGGGGAAAGGGCCTCTTTGGAAGACTTGATATTCCTAATGGCACACTGAATTCATGTTATCTCAGTATCTCCATTAGTAGATTTTCAACTAATTAGCTTAGAAAACTCCTTTTGATTTAATTGCAGTACCTGTGATATGCTGATTCTCTCTTATGATGAAATAATAGTCAGTTATGGCTTTGAAGAACATAATCTTTAGCATCAAAAAATCCTGCTGCCAGGTAGATGAAATTGCCAAAATGATAGCCCAACAGAGTCTCTGTACATACATCCACAGAAACAAGGGAATTAGTTTTTTTCTTGTTTCATTCTTCAATCTAATACTTAAATATGCATCAGTACAGCAACCTGAGGGTAATGATAATAGAATTATGCGGTTTGAATGAACTGAAATAATGTATCATGTTTACCACTATACATATTGTACATCGAATTCATTCAAGCCTGTTGTTGCCTTGCATTTAGATATTTTTAATAAACAGACGAGAAACGGTGCCTACACTTTGAAGTAGATGAAGCACTGGTTGATTTCTATTCTGCAAATTTTAAGCCCGTGCTTTGATGTTAGCTTTTCACTTCTTAACTGGGACTGGAAAAAAGACCTAGAGGATTTTACAGTTGATCATAACCAAACTGTCTTGAATAAGTGCATTAGAACAGATAGAGATAAAAGGCACTAAACATTTTATTTCTTTAAAAAAAAAATCTCCATCTGAAAAGATCTCATTTAGACACTGCTTTTTAATAGTTGGTAGTTTTTCAGTAAGCTTCTAAAAGCAGTGTCAGTGTAGTTTGAGTAAAGTACATTTGTTTTTACCCTATTTTCCATAGTTTTTAACTCTTCCAATGGTACTGGAAGGTCAAGTCTGCACATTTCTTCTGCCACAGTTCTCTGAAGTTTATATTTCTGATCTACTGGGGCTGATGCTTTTCAGCCTCTCCAAGACAAGCTGCATGATGAGACAGAGTGCACCCTAATCGCATCTGCTGGTCATACTGAGTGAAGGGTGGTGTTGAAACACTGGCCGTTGGAGCCTCAGTCCCGAAGGACTTAAGATTTGGCCAACAGAAACTTTAGTAATTCAACAAGGAAAAATGCAAAATTCTGCACCTTAGGTGAACTAAGCCTACATGTCTGTGCAGGCTGTGACATCCTAGGACACATCTGATGTCCAAGGTCATTACGGATGTAGACATGGGAGCAGCAAGGGGAGGTTAAGGAGCTGGCCTTGTTCAGTGTGGTAGAGATGAGCCAGAGGGGTGAGGAGGATCTCATTGCAGTCTGCAACTACCTCAGAAATGTTTAGACATCAGGGGCACCAAATTCTCCTCATTCTTCTCAATAGTGAAAACAAATAGTAAAACAAGGGGCAGTGGGCAAGAAATTGCAGCAGGGATGTGCTGGAAAATCTCCTTCAGGAGGAGGGCAGTGCAGTGCTAAAGCAGGTTACCTGGAACAACTGTGGAGTCTCCATTCTTGGAAGATCATCAGAGCTCAGCTGGGCAGAGCCACTGGTGACCTGATCTGCCGTTGGCCATAGACCCACTCTGGGTGCTTGCCTGGAGACCTCCAGAGGTCTTTTCTATTTGTGGAAGAACATCTGATACCTGCTCCTAACACACAATTTAGGAGTTGATTTGTTTGGAGAGAAACTGATCACTCATTTTAATTTTTTTTTTTTTAATGGCTGTTTGGTAATTACTGAGGGGGGGACAATGCTAAGAAAATTGAACCCAAAATTGCACTCTGAATCTGAAGACCACCTCCTAGACTTGCTTTATGTCATGTGCTTAAGCAGTTCCTTTGGAGCAGTTCCTTTACAGGACAAGAGTTAACTCAGAGGAATTACTCAGATAGTAACATGCAGCAGCACCATAAGTATTTGTAGGATTAGGGTCTACATTTTTCATCATCCTAGGGTTTGTTAGCAATGTACACCATTTTCTGTTTGCTTCAGCTGAAAGAAAAAGCAAAAAAATACAGTCTTTCCAAGCTGAGCATATGCTTTTATGATTCATGCAGTTGTGTTGCTATTTTGGGTTTAGAAACCAGCAGGGAAGCTACAGACATGAAAATCAGTCTTTTGTAGGTATAATAAGCAAACTCATTATAAAAGTACGCTATATGCAAAACCTTTTCTCAGTAGCTGAGTGTTACCAGTGATAGACACAAATGCTGTCAGCATGACAGACAGCATTTTCAAAACTAATGCACAGGATACACCGGACATTCCCTGATCCCTGCAACAGCTGGGCACATTAATTTGGAGGGGCAGTTTACTTTTTGTAAATTGCTTGAAATCCAAGGCTGCGTACGGCATGAAGAATTTGTGTGGGGTGCTCCTTTCAGTCCTCAGTTTCTATAGCCATGGCACTGTTTTTTTGTATGGGACCTTTGTTTCTTGGGGGATTGTTGTTACGAGCAATATAAACATGTTTGGGACATGGGTACCCCACCTACGCACACCTATTTGTGGAGCTGGAGGCCTTGCTTACAGTAACAAAAAGCTGGGTTAACTAATACAGTGTAAAATCACAGACTACAGACTAGAAAGACCAAATTGTAATTGAGTGTGTTTGCTAGACTGTCTTAAAATGCAAATTGCTTCGTCTATTCCTGAGTTTCAATATGTTTTAAAATTGGTTTTTAGAATATAAGGTCATTTCTGTTGCAAGGGTGTGATGTCCTCAGTCTACACCAGTGCCTCATATTCTCCTTGTTTTCTCCCTTGCCTGCATTTTTGTGTTGCAGTTTCCGAGGGAATATCCCTCTAAGCAGATGCCCGGTGTCCACAGACCCTCAGCCTGAGCTGTCAGAGTATTTGGACTCCAAGTTACACCAAGCCCACTCCAGTCCTGTAGCACTGGCACAGCTGAAATTTCTCAACCGCTGAAAATCCCAAACTCTTTTAGCTTGCATGCTAGCAATAAATTAGGAAGGTTCTATTGCCTCATTATGTAAAGAGAATTAGACCTTTTATATGCAAACCAGCTCAAGACAGGAAATACATCTTTAAGAAGAAAAACTGTACACCACCAGTTATTAATATCACTGACATTTCGTCCAGCCTAGACATGATATGTCATAATTTTGCTGTTTGCTTATGAAATATGTATGATGGCTGCTGGTCTGTGGATTTCTAATGAGAATAAAATACTGGCAGCTCTGTTTTTAGAGGGGGAAAGGGAAATACAAGCACTAAGAAAATGAAACTTAACATACACACCTCTAATATCCAGACTGCTCTAGAAAGTCACATGAGAAATTACTTACACGATGGACTTGTCATTCATACCTCTCTCACCATATCCATGTCCTTGTAGACTGTGGCATATCACTCGAAGGGTGAGCGTGTGGAGAGCTACAAACGGAGCCCCTATGATTGGAGGGGCAACAGGGTTTTTTACTATTCAGCTGTTTCTTTCAGACCAATGGAGGAGACAGATGATAAGGAACATTATGCTGAAATTGTAGTTCCCTGAAGTCAGCAGCAAAACTCCTGTGGAGAGCAGTGGGGAGAAGAATGTCATCTATGCTGTATGCTCATGGCCTTGCTGCTGACCTGTTCTGTGATCATGGCATGCATCTCAAGGCCACAGTTTTCAAAGCAACTTAGTGCTTAAATATAGAGATGTCTATCTTGTTGATAAAAGTTTCTAACCAATCTAGTGCTAAATTACTCAATTTTGTTGTAAGGCTTTGAAAACAGCTGATATGTGACCTTTGAACTTGCTCTCCTGCTGTGAGAAAGTTCTCCAAGAGTCTGTACGGATACAGCTATTGGTAGGGGGTGGATGTTTTCCAGCAAGGCTCAGGCTTTTGAAGTTACATTCTTACGATGTCTCTCATCCAGTTTCATGCACGTTCCAGATTGTTTTACTTTGTCAACTCTTGTCCTTTCAACAGAGAGGTGCTCATGAGATCCGAGAAATTCGGCAGTTTCACTTCACTGGTTGGCCAGACCACGGCGTACCGTACCACGCGACGGGCCTGCTGGGATTTGTACGGCAGGTCAAATCCAAGAGCCCACCAAATGCTGGCCCTCTGGTTGTTCACTGCAGGTAGGCAGAACAGAAATGCGTCCGTCGTATTGCCCAATAAACTCAGAACCTACTTTTGCTTCTTCTGTGCTGTGTAATCCCCAAACAGACTGCTGAAGCCATTGGAGGTTTACCCACAAGAACTCAACACCTAAAATATAAAGAATGGCAAAACTGAGTCTAAAATCCCACAAATGACTGACTGAATGCAAATCTTATTTTCAGTAATCCTCCCACTGATCACTTTACATTTTCCAATACAACGCTGAACATTAACTGTGCTCTTCCTTTACTTTAGTGCCGGAGCTGGCAGAACCGGGTGCTTCATTGTTATTGACATCATGCTAGATATGGCAGAAAGAGAAGGCGTTGTGGACATATACAATTGTGTGAGAGAGCTTCGATCTCGGAGAGTTAACATGGTGCAGACTGAGGTATAGTTAACCTACTGGAACACTGTCTTACACTTTGCAAGAAAAAGTACTCTTCTAGCCCATAAGACTAAGCCACTACAGTCTTGAATAAGCTACCTCCAAAAGGTAGCTTATTCAAGCATACACAGAGAATAATCTGCACATAAACTTGAAGAACCGCTGCCCAAACAAGTCCCCAGTTATGCTGCAGTTGAGGTACACAATGGTTTCTTAAAAAAAGGAAAATCATGAATGTTTCCTCTCCAGAGTGTATTCATTCTGGAGTACATCTTCTTGAGGTTCAGTTATGTGATAACTGTATCAGGAGAAGTGTGGCCAGCAGGTCGAGGGAGGTGATTCTGCCCCTCTACTCTGCTCTTGTGAGACCCCACCTGGAGTGCTGCGTCCAGCTCTGGAGCCCTCAACATCAGAAGGATATAGACCAGTTGGAGCGAGTCCAGAGGAGGCCACGAAGATGCTCAGAGGGCTGGAGCACCTCTGCTATGGGGACAGGCTGAGAGAGTTGGGCTTGTTCAGCCTGGAGAAGAGAAGGCTCCGGGGAGACCTTATTGCCGCCTTCCAGTACCTGAAGGGGCTACAAGGAAGCTGGAGGGGTGACTTTTTACAAGGGCCTGTAGTGACAGGACAAGGGGTAACAGGTTTAAATTGAAAGTGGGGAGGTTTAGATTAGATATCAGGAAGAAGTTCTTCCTGGAGAGGGTGGTGAGGCACTGGAACAGGTTGCCCAGAGAAGCTGTGGATGCCCTATCCCTGGAAGTGTTCAAGGCCAGCTGGACAAAGCTTTGAGCAACCTGGTCTAGTGGAAGGTGTCCCTGCCCATGGCAGGGGGGTTGGAACTAGATGATCTTTAAGGTCCCTTCAAACCCAAACCACTCTGTGATTCTATGATTCTGTAACACCTACAGAACTGTGCAGAGGAATGAGGAAACCAGAATCATTCTGAGTTTTATTACCAAGTGCTACTGCACTTCTGTTTATACTTTTAACTCGTTGGAGTCAATCTTTCTATATTAATTTCTAAATGAATGGGATTAAGTTTTCTGAACTGCAGTTCCTTCTGCTCTTGCTTCAGGGCCATTAAAGTAAAAGAAAATGAGTTGCAACATTCTTAGTTCTTCCTTTTATTTATCACAGTACTAATAGGATGTGCTCTCTGTGTCAGTAATTATTTTGATTGCTTTACCAGGAACAGTATGTATTCATCCATGATGCTATCCTGGAAGCCTGTCTTTGTGGGGACACATCTATTCCAGCTTCTCAAGTTAGGTCTGTTTACTATGAAATGAATAAACTGGATCCTCAAACTAACTCCAGCCAGATCAAAGAGGAATTCAGGGTAAGTTGTGGCTAGCAGTACCTAGAAGCCATACAGTTCAGCTATACTAGAGAATTCTACTTAAGTGTGTGCTTATAACAATGTGAATTTTGGACCAGGCCTGGGTGGGAAAGACTGCAAAAAAAAAGGGAAAATAACATGTCACCAATTGCTGTGGAATTATGCAAAATCATAAAAGAATGCAACAGAGTAGTAGTAAAATCTTCTTTTTACTCCAGAGACGTATGTTGATTCCTTCTGCTGTCTTTTCTCCAGAAGGCAGTTTATTCTGCAGCTGTCTTTGGGGTTATTTTTTCAGATCTGTGTGCTTCCAGAACTTTTTGCTTCCAAATCCTGCTGACTCTGATGTGTTTTCATTTCTCTGCATATTGATTCCTGCTAAAACTGAATGCTGAGCTGATCTATTCTTAAATGTTTTGGGATGCTTTCACTTCTGTGTTAATTTTCCTGTTGTATTGTTTACTCTTTTTGAAAGACTTTAAATATGGTGACTCCGACACTGCGTGTAGAAGACTGCAGCATAGCACTTTTACCACGAAATCATGAAAAGAATCGCTGTATGGATGTTCTGCCTCCAGACAGATGCCTGCCTTTCCTCATAACGATAGATGGGGAGAGCAGTAACTACATTAATGCTGCACTGATGGATGTAAGTCTCCACTACATCATTAATAATAAAAAGGGAATAAGCAACCCTCCAGACTGAGCAATGCCAAAAGTGGAATCAGCATAAGAAGACTGAAATCCTTCTAGCTTGTTTTCCAAAACCATGGCACAAAATCTTTAAGCTCACAGGTACATTTAGGATCCCACATATGTTATGTCATAGCCAAGGTTCCAAAGGCATGCTCAGAGAGCAAGTTGGGGAGTTTGATGAGGTAAATGTATCTGAATTTCTCCTTAGTGCTTGAATTTTTAACCATCTGGCCTAGGAAAAGAAGGGTTACCTATTAAGACACTAAGGCAGTTAAATAGGATAATAAGGTTTGCAGCAATATTTTACTTCCCTTTGTTTCTAATTTAAACAGTAATTAACAAAAAAAATAACTGTCTGTCAGCACAAGATAGTACACAAGCTATTACTTCAGTCTTCCCGTTTATTTCTGTTTGAATGAATGGTTCCTCTTCATGTGCGTGGGGAGTTTTTTTCTAATACATTTATGGTAATTGTAATCCTGCTAATAGAATATCAGTAAAAAGACACTTAAACCGCCTTTACCGTGTGTAGCTATTTATAGCCTATCTTTGACAATTTAAAGCTATAGTAATTACAGTTGTCAAACACATAAACAACAAGAAAACAGAGGTTAGCAAAGAATGAATACATTGTAAATGGCCTTTTTAAAAAGTAAAGCTAGAGTAATAACAGTTTATAGCAGTTTCTGTATTTCTTGCCTTCCAAGTTCTCAAAGCATTTTCCTAAAATAAACCTAAGTTCAAAACACTCCTGTGAAAAGGTAAGTGTATTATCTTTATGTTTGTCTTTTGAAACTGAGAACAAAAGTTTAAGTGACTTCTCTAGGTTCTCAGAGTAGGTCAATGACATTTCATATTAGAATGGAGCTTCCTTGACCTGCAGTTTACAGTCCTGCCATCACATTGTCTTCTTTCCCAAAGAGTTCAGTGCTGTTTTGTTCCGTAAATCAAGTACTGATCAGAAAGGGCAGGCCCTCAATACTTGCTTTGAAAATGCTTCCCTTTTTCACTGTTGAAACAATAAACTGGATCCAAAAGTGTGTCTGGGCAAAAGGATCCAGGGGAGGAGATGATTTGGGTTACTTTCCACCTGAAGCACCCTAGCCAGGCTCCTGCAATAGCCCTGCGCTGATGGACAAGGGCAGACACTTGTCCCTCTTCTCTAAGACACTCAGTCCCCAGCAGACAAGATGATGTGTTTCACCCTCTCCACCTCCATCAGTTGAGATGCAGTCGGATGCCCTCACGTAAGCCTCCAGGCAAAAGGGGTAGCAAGCATAATTTTCATTATCCAATATTAGAATGAGTGTGAGAACCATTTTTCCCGAAATACTGCTGGGGTTTCTGAGTGAGGGAGTAATGGAGAGTCCTCCGAGCATCTCTCATCTGCATGCAACTTCCAGCAAGGCAGGACCAGTAGGATAGAAGGCAGCTGACCGATGTAGAGGCAGCATCGATGCCTACTGTTTGCAGTTTGCTGAAACCAAATCAAAGAACCGAAGTCCTGAGTGTCTTCATGTCTACCCCAAAACACATTGGATTCATTTCCTATGGTCTCTTCAGTGACTGTCTCTGAAAGATGCAAATAGCTGATCAGGTTGTATCTCTGTAGCGGTACAAACGCTTCAGCTCAGGGCACGTAGGGGCTTCTCTGCCCCCCTTAATGAAGGCAGTGGCAACCCCTCCCTCCCAACAATTGCCCCAGTGTGGCCAGACTGACCTTCAGCGCTCAGGAGGACAAAATTGAAAATGCTGGTATGAAATCCACAGTGGAACAGTTCCACAAAACAGCTCAGTCAACGACATACTCTGGTACTGAAAAAACCCAAAAAGCACTGAAATCTATCCCCTGGGTATATTTGCTGCTGTCAGATAGACCAGAATTTCAGCAATATTTCTGAAAAGGAACTAGATATTTTCTTTCATGGGCATCATTCAAATTAACAGCCAAGTGCAGACAGCCAAGATTAATCTGTCCATTAACAGCTCAAAATAAAACCGTTGCTCAAAATTTGGTAGGAGTTGTATTGGAGGCAAAAGCCTCTGATGATTTTGCTCTGTGCCTGTGGCATAAAATAAGGTTCAGAAATATAACATCTGCAGAAACTGTGTTCTGCCCAAAAGTAGTTTATTAACTTTGAAGTATATAAGACCTTGGGAAAGAGCTGAAAACAATGTATTAATTACATAGAAAACAGAAATAATGCTTTCAGTCCCAACGTTTTGGGGCTGTGACTGGCATTCCGCTAAACGGCTTTTTATCTTTTACCATTCTTCTCAGCATCTCTTGTTATTCCTTTGCAGAGCTACAAGCAGCCGTCAGCTTTTATAGTTACGCAGCATCCCTTACCAAATACTGTCAAAGATTTCTGGAGACTGGTCCTAGATTATCACTGCACTTCAATAGTAATGCTGAACGATGTCGATCCAGCACAAGTAAGTCCCGAAAACTGCTCCGTTCAACAGAGGAGTGCTGTTGCCTCAGCGTTTCAGCCCATGTGCGCCTCAGAACAGCTTTAGGATGTAATCAGTTTTATAAAACAACATTAAATACTAACAAACTAAAAAACTGGAGACTGGTCCTAGATTATCACTGCACTTCAATAGTAATGCTGAACGATGTCGATCCAGCACAAGTAAGTCCCGAAAACTGCTCCGTTCAACAGAGGAGTGCTGTTGCCTCAGCGTTTCAGCCCATGTGCGCCTCAGAACAGCTTTAGGATGTAATCAGTTTTATAAAACAACATTAAATACTAACAAACTAAAAAACTGATTTGTAGCTGGGAAAGAGGAATAAATCAGACCATCAGCAGCTTCTCCACCAATATGCTAATGCACACAGACAGAAGTGCATGAGCCCCTAATTTATTCTGATAAGAAAACATGCTTTGGGAAGAGCTGCTAAAAACCAGAAATGATGGTTGTAGAATTCTGACTCAAGTCTGAAACACAGTAATAATAGCCGAAAGTCACAAAGAGAAGCCAACAGCTATTCATTAGCTTGCCTGAAACAGGTCAGTGACCATGGTCTGCTTAGCAGGGGATAGGTGTTCCCAGGGCAAAAATCTGTGTTCTGTTTGGCGCACAATGACATTGTTAGCAAGGAGATAGGAGCTAAACAAGATTGGAGACTGAGCATCCTTCGGAAGAGAAAACAGGGCAACGAAACGTATGGGGGAATGTAATTACCTTACAAAAGAGTTGTGCATGCTGTACATGTTCTTTAGAAAACTGGAAAACCGTACCCACTGGTTTGGCAATTTAATCACTAGCATTAATCACTAAGCGTCCTAGAGCCTGGGTTGTAACTGCACAATTCCAGGTTATCATTTCCTGGGTTCCAACAAGCTGCACCAGACGTCCGCTGGAGGAACGTAGTGATAATCTGGGGTCTGAAGCTGTAAATATTTTCTAATTATTGGTTAAGAGCAATTGTTATTTTTTTATAGCAGACAATGTCATTTTTATTCATGACATGATCACAAATATTTTTGGCTTTGTTGAGTATTGTACGTACTTAGAAAAATTTTTCTTCTTACTTCTTTTTAACAGGAAGAATTTGTTTTTAAAACACACTCATCTTCCGTTTTGTCTTTCAAAGGAATGTGTAGAAAATCCACACATATTTTAAAGACTGAATTTCTGATTCTAAGCCCTTAAACTGTCTACAGGAAGAAAAATAGAAATGAAAGACAAACCTTTTATTCATGAGTCTAAGATTATTTTCTGAGTGAATAAGGAAAGACTCAAGGGAGCCAGGCTGTTAGGGACTGCTGAACAGAGTTTTTTAATTTGTGGACTGTGTTTTGAATTTACAGTAGTGCATGGCTGTTTCAAGCATTTATTAGCCTCACAGGCTTTTAAAAGCTATGGGGGTATGCAGTTAATGCACCTGCCTCTGCAGTATGTTAAACCTTTTCCCTCTAATGTGAGCAACAATCTTTTCATTAGGAATAAATCTCAAAACCCTCAGAGCAAACAGAAGTGGAGAGAGGGCAGAGCTTATTAAAAACACGCATTACATTCAGTTTTATTAATAATTACTGTTATCATTATTATTTATGTATATATGAAGTGTTTACAGTTCTGTTAAGATATTTCAGTTTATGTGGATTGTCAAGCTCCATTGGAAAATGAAATTCAACTCTGCACAGTGACTCTGTCTTAAAGAGTCACACGCGTGCAAAACACTCAGACCTAAATGCTTGTGGATTCTTTAGAACCTGAACACCTTGGCTTCCTAAAACAATGCCAGCAAACAGCTCTGCTTACTGTCGTTTAAGCATTTTCCAAAGATCTGTTAGAACACTATTCCTGTGTATTTGAAAGACGTGTACTAAATTGTGCACGTGTTAAATGATCTGAGCGCTGGCGTTCGCATCAGTTGTGTGCATGTCAGTACTGTGTTTTGCTCTCCTGTGCACTAGGATACTTCAGAATAACGATTTGTGTAATATTTAGACAGGATTTGGAAATTAATTTGCTCAGCAGACCAAATCATGGGGAGAGGGGTTTAAAATAAATGAAAATGTATTTTCCTACTGGAAATTTCTGGTTTTAACTTGTTAAAGTGAGCTCCTGCAAATCAGACCCTGTTCTCTTTTTAATTGATGTAGTAAATGATTATGTTTTCCTAAAACGTAGTCATCTCTAAGCGGCTTTGTTGAGGAATAAGTGTCACAAGAAATGCAAAACAACATCTGGAGTAAATATGATTTGTCAGCTCAGCTCTGGATCACCAACAGCAATGCAGCAGAATGAAGACCACAGCTGTTTTACTGAATGAAATAAAGTTCCAAATACGACACCAATGCTTCTGCAAGCAAACAAAATTTCATGAGTTCATACTTAATTTCGGTGAATGCTTGCAAAAGCTACATGCTTGAACTGCTCTAAATATCCCTAGAAAAAAAAATCATTGCGGCTTTTATGGGGAAAAAAATGGACAAGCAGAGTCTAGCTTCAAAAACCTCCTTGCAAAGTGTTGATTTAATCTTTAAAGTATTAACTGTGATGATAATTGGTTCCTGGATTAAGCCACTGTGATATTATTAGACACTAAAACTGTGCAAGATAATGGTAAAATTACTTTGTGATCTTTAGATACGTAGAAGTAATGTTTTCTGAGCGCTAAAGAAAGCATAATTACTTGTTTCAGGTGCCATTCATAAGATGAAATTGAGCAGTTGTTGAAAATTTAAAGCATTGCTGGTATTACCCAATATCATCAGTCACGGGTGAAACATGCAAAAGTTTTGAGAATTGATGCAACCTTCATTGTGTAATGCATACATTCTGATGTAGCTTGAATTATTACCAACTTTTCAGGACAGTTGGAGATACAGGGCCTTTGGTCTTTAGGCTTCACGCTGTCTCTGAGCTACGGTAATATTTGACAGCATCCCCCTGTCCTGTCATAACGTCGTGCAGAATTGACGTTGAGCGTCAGGAATGTGTTACTCCAAACACCAGAGAGTGGTGAACACAGCAGCCAGCAATAGCACATTCAGCTAAATGAAAAGGCATTTTTTTTTTTGTTCTGCACAAGTAAAAACAGACTGCTCGAAACTGGTGGAGGATGGTGCACTGCGTATTTTATAAAGATACTGGGTGAGAATTTCAGTAATAAATGTAGCACAAAGAAAACTTTAGAGGAATACATTGAGGCAGCATGGCGTTCAAAGTGATTAACTGTGTTCTTTTGTGTTTGTGGCCTTCTACAGCTGTGTCCTCAGTACTGGCCAGAAAACGGAGTACATCGACATGGTCCTATTCAGGTGGAGTTTGTATCAGCTGACTTAGAAGAAGACATAATCAGCCGGATATTCCGGATTTATAATGCAGCCAGAGTAAGGATGTTATTTGCAACACAATTCTGTCTCAGTAGATGTGTTGACTCTGCTCAAATCACAACAAATGAAAGTTAAACTCACATAAAACCATTCTCATTTTTCAGCTTATTTATTCGAAAGCAGTGGTGCGATACTGAGTCACACCATAATCAATGAGAAAGAATCCTTCCATGTGTAATTAAAGTAAAAAAAAAAAAAATCTAATGCATATCTCAAGTGTGTTAAATGCAAATGAAATAAATGCAGCATTCAGATCTTATGGTAGCCAAGAAATGCCGAAATCAGTGCTGTTTTCAACAGTTTGAAATTAGCCGTCTTGCATATTTGTGTCTGTGTCATGAGAAGGAAGCTGTGCACCAATACGAGGCATGTTTTTCAATACCAGTCCCAGGCTTTTAGAGAAGATCCTGTCCCACTAATGACACTTCCTAATACGTGTGAGCATTTCAGAGGGACAAGTACGTTCTCATATCCAGCTTCTGTGCGCTCATAAAGTTGACAGAAGACTAAACGAGGCGTGCTGGGTGGAGAAAAGATTCCACCACAGACCAGTTCAGGTGGAGAGAACCTTCGCAATGGACTGGTATCGATCACCGAAGAACCGTAGCTAGGAGTAAGCAGCCCTCCCTGCTGAAAGAAGTTGGGAACTGCCCCAAGGTCCGGTAGCTCTCAGGACGGTGGAAAGCCCCAAAAACGCACCCAAAAACATGCTAATACCTGCGCAGGGAAGCAGATTGTACGCCTCAAGTTATTTCTTTAATACTACAAAGGCCTTGCATTCACATTAAACATGACAACATAAAAACACAGTTTCCATCAGCGCTGAGTCAGGCTGATGTGGGTAGGGGAGAAGGAGCCGTCAGCGGAAAGAAACTGGGCAGGAAATCAGTGCATTCCAAATTTGGATATAAAGCAGACAAACCCCACTGAAGAGCATATCTAATGCTGCATCCACTTTGGTGTATTCCTTTTCCTTGTGAATCTTACATCCTCTCTATTACCTCTTACTCTAGAGAAAAAATGGTAAAGTCAACATTTCTGTGCGTTGCTCATTTTAAAAGCAACACTAAAATGCCCTCACTTTGCACAGAAGTGAAAGTGGCAAATCCTAGACTACAAAACCAGTTTTCATGTGTGTGTTTATTATGCCCTTTTCAAAGGGCTGTAATTTTCTGCCACTAACACTTGTTCTATGCTTTTTTTTTTCCTGTTAAATCACCATAAGGCAACTGTTCAGTAGCGTTACACCAGAGGGGTTCTGACTGCCGCAGTATCACACAATAAAATAAAACGTAGTTACAGGTTTTTTCATCAGCGACAGAATCAGAGGGTTTCGTTTGGTTTTTTAAATGTATCCTGCTTCAGAATATTTTGAGAGGTTTTGACCTTTCTTGTAAAAAAAGACAGAAGCATGCAAACATTCTTCAAAATGCTGAAGCATATGGGAAGAAAAGACGTATATAATTTAAGTTGCGTTGCAGCGCTCTCTTTGCTACCAAGTTCCTGCTATGGTATTAATTATTTGCTTGATCCTGCAGCTGTATCACTGCTGTATTCCAGTCTATTTGTATAGCACTCGGTTTAAAACCTCTTCTTCTAATAACTCTGTTGGAAATTAAAAGTCATAACTCCTCAAGGGCAGTTGAAATTACATGGGTAGTTTGTCAGCGGTGATCTGCTTGAACAACTTCCCTCGCTGATGCAAATATCTACGTTAGGTATCAAAAAACATGCGGTTACTTTTTTCTGCTTGTTGCCTGAATCCCTGCAGCCCCAAGATGGCTATCGGATGGTGCAGCAGTTCCAGTTCCTGGGATGGCCCATGTACAGAGACACTCCGGTTTCTAAACGCTCTTTCTTGAAGCTCATCCGCCAAGTGGAGAAGTGGCAGGAGGAGTACAACGGGGGAGAGGGACGCACGGTTGTACATTGCTTGTAAGTACTCGAAATGGAAGAGAGAAAGTAAGGGAATACTGTTACAGAATTTGTGTCAGGGTTTAAAAGATTTGTGAAGAGGTATCCACCTAATCTGGAACTGAGTAAATGACACAACTGCTCATTTAAAGCTTTGAATACAAGAGGAATTAATTATATGGTTTTTTATGTAGATTCATGAGTTTCCCTCTCTGTTCCTTGGTAGACCCATGTGAGAAGATGATGTGTACAAGTTAACTATTTTTTATAAACACGTCCAGTGACTTTTGCAAATAGAAATGCTCATATTTATTCCAAGTAAATCAAAATTGTACCTTCAGAACAGTTTGCTTGTTATTTCTGTAGTTAAGGACTGTAGAAGTAAGTAGTATTGGAGGAAGCGATTCCTCTTCCAGACAACAAAGCACAGAAGTAGAAGTGGTGCGATAGTCCGTTTAGGACGATGTTTTAAATAAAAGTATGGGGGTTTGTCCTCCTGTGACCTTTGTGCTCCGCTGATGCAGGCTCCCATCCACTCTGCCACCATCCTCCTTTTGCTATGGCTTAATACCGTACATGCTGTTTGCCTTCGGCAGTAGGCAATCTTTCGGGATCAAGTCGTCAGTGTTTGAAGTTGTAACCATCTTCCTCTAAACACCTGCTTAAAGGTGCTGCCATGATGGAGAAGGGACACGCTGATGGGAAGAGTGCATGCTAACGTGCTTTCAGAAGTTGCGACCCAAGGGTAGACAACTTCCAAAGTTTGGTTTGCAGTTACCCAATGTTAGAACTGTGGAGGAATATCGGGAGAGTGTATTAATAATTCCCACTATCACTGACCTTGAACAAGTCATTGCTCTTCAGTTTCCCCATCTGTAGAATGGGGATAATAATACTTTCATCAAAGGAGCATTGTGTAGGGTGATTAATTAATGTTTTGAGATCTTTAGCTGAAAAGACCCTTTTGAAGTGCAAATTACTGTTATCTCTGAGGTGGCTGATGATATTAAATAGTTGTACAACATCACACATGCGTCACTTCCAGGCAGTAAAGAAAGAAAAAGCTCTAATATAATCCTTTCAAATGACTTTATTTTAATTAAAATTCTCAAAGAGTCCCACAATATCAGGCAGTGTTTTGGCAGCAGAGAGCATTCTTTTCATACCGCCTGGATGTGACAGATGTGCAACGTCGTAGCTTCCTTTGAAAATCAACCATTTGCGAAGCTGGTTTGAAAGACCCGCTACCTAACTAGTCTGCGCTCTGGTAATTATTAAAGTTTATTATTTTCGGTGAAGCGCAGCCTGAAGATTCTGATTAGAATAGCTGTAGAAATAATAGGGTTTCCATAAAGAAAGAGATTCTCTTAAAGATTAAAAATAACCGGGGATAAAGTATTATTAAATATGGTATTTGACCATGCATGCGAACATTTGTGCCTAGCTTCTTTGTTAGCAAGTCACGTCGGGTTCTCGTCCTCTGACACTGTGGGTGGAGGGGGAATGTACCCACTTTTAAAGCTAGTCACTGCCGTGCAGCTGGCCCCTCTGCCCACTACGGGGGGCGGGGGTTGCCAGGGAATATCACAGCACCACCCAGTGCCATGCCAAACCTGTGGCCACCAGAAAGGCTCCTACAAAAGAGACTTCCGGCGCTTTCGCTGCTCCTGCAAAATGCCTTTGGGTCCAGGAGGAAAGCACTAGGATCTGGAATAACAAAACTCAACAATTTCTGTAACATTTCCAGGCCTGATGGTCATATCAACCTCGTGCATTTACAGTGCAAAGGGATGTTGAACTGAATCTAAAAGTACCTAGTCCTTATTTTAGCATCCTCTTTGTGCTGCCTCAAGCGTTCGCTGAAGGTTGGTGCAAAACCCAGACGTTCATTTCCCTCCAGGCCTTCAGCCTGCTGAATTGTGGATCACAGCTTTGAGATCCTTCAGTCCATTAGTTCCAATTTAAAGTCGTGTTCTGCCTAGAGTTCGGCCGCCTTCAGGGGCAGGAATGTTCTGTGGTCTTTTCCCTACTGGAATTCGTGCCTGCTGTAGCCATCCCTGGTGCCGTACAACTGTAACGGAGTCGATTGTAACTGAGCCCTTTTCTCATTTTTATTGTAGGAATGGAGGTGGCCGCAGTGGGACATTTTGTGCAATCAGTATTGTTTGTGAAATGCTTCGACATCAGAGGGCTGTTGACGTATTCCATGCTGTGAAGACACTGAGGAATAATAAGCCTAACATGGTGGACCTTCTGGTACGAGCTCTTTAACTGCACCACATAATAGACAATGTTCCTTTTTCTCAAAAGGCTCAATAAGATTTCCAAGATTTGCAGTGGGAGTTGTTCACAAAGCAAGCAAGTCATTTTCAAAGGGGATAATGAAGTCACTTTGCTTGCAAGAGTATTTTTACACTTTTTTCTTCCCAAGGAGACTTTGTCTCTGTTCATTTGAATTTTTTAGGAGTTTTAAACTTTCAGCTGAACATCCTTATTAATTTTCTTTTCTAGCAGGCTGAGCCAAGTGGAGAGCAGCCCTTGCATGGTAGAAATAATAGTTATGTGAAATGAAGTGCCAGATTTTCAAATTATATATTTTATAAATAGCTTAATCGCCTAATATTTATCAAAGCCACAAATTTCAGTTTGACATGCAGAATATTGCATTTAATTATGGTTGCTCTATCTCATGGAAAGATTAAAGAAGTTCAGAAACAAGGGGCCATGTGCAATTATTTTCCTAGAGAGTGTTTTATGAGCTTTTTATTTTTAAAGGGAGAATTGCTGAAGTGCCAGCTGCTATCCCACAAGAGCTGCAGAACAGCTTAAACCAGCAGGTTCTTACACTCCAGTGTGTAGTTCAGTACTTGGAGATGGCTGTAGTGTGATAGCCCGTTCTGAAGCCTGGGCTGTAAAAGTCACTGGTTTACAGCATCCTGCTGTAGAGGTGGTTGCTTAAGAGGCAGCTGGACTCAATTGAGCATCATAGGCAGGAGGAAGCAGCATCTGGGTAGCTTCAGGGAGGCTAAACCAGTCTGAGATGATTTTGCAAGCTCTGGTTTAACAAGTTTGGGCCATATTTCAACATCTTTTCCCCAGAGTGCTCAGGGGGAGGCAGGGAAGGCATCTCACAGACATGGTTCAGCCTCTTGTAATTTTAGGAGAGACACCCCCTCTCTCATATGAACGACCAAGATCTGGCTGTGAAATACACTGACAAATGGGCAGAGAGGAAGAATTTCTGTTGGGAAGAGTGAGGCTTTCAGGCTCATGTATACATGGCAGGAACATCCATTTCCCCACCACATGTATCACCATGCCTCGTCTGTCCCATGGACGAACGGCTCCCACCTCATCCTCCATCGCAGTGCTTTCATCTAGCCGACCTGGGAAGACCCAGATCCTACCCTAGACCTGCTCTGGCCAGGCTCGTAGAAGAAAGCCAGATGTTGCCAGCTGTGCCAAGGGAGGAGGGAATCTACGAGCAGCACCCCAGAGCCATGAGCCAGCAATGTGGAACCGCAAATCTTGTGTCAGTGAGAAACGATCAAGCTTTCGCAGTGGTGGGAGGGAGCGGCTTAGTTGGCTCCTCTTCCTCTAGTTTATATTCTCAGGAGGAGAATCATCATGCTGAGAACCATACATTTTTATTTCCTAGATATGAAGAAAAATGTCCTACTTCTTCATTCAGATAGTATAGTTTGGATAGAGACTTGGCAGGCCTGCTGTTTTCCGCTCTCCCAGAGCTTAAGTCCACAGAACTCACAGATCTCTTATTCATTTATTTTATAGAAATAAAAATAAAATTACCAGTGTGAAGATTTACAGTTGAAGAAAGTGCTCTCTATAAATTCCCATTTGTGACAGTTCTCCAGGTGTAGATGTGTCAGGCATCTGTCTGCGCTTTTCTGAAGATAATTTTTTTAATCAAAAACTATATATATTATTTTAGCATATTAAAATATCTTTTAGTAACTTGGGAAATGACACTGAGGATGTCTGGACAGTACTGAGGTCTTGTAAGGCCTTTTTATTAGGAGACTTCACAGCAGTTGTGAAGGAGATCAGTATTGTTTTCCTTATTTTACAGACAGAGGAACGAAGGCAGGGGTGGTCAGGATTTTCCCCATGATCACGTAATTCACTGACAAAGCCTAACTCTCTTCGGTCTTGGTCTGCTACTTTATAGGAACAAATATTTGAGTTAGGAAGGTTTCAGTTTCCATGTAGATTGTTTCATGGTAAAAGGGAATCAGGACACTTGAGTTCTTTTCCTGATCCTGTTACTGACTTTATCTTTTATGACCTTTCTTATATTAATGTGTCTTTGCCTCAGTTTCCACATCTGAAAAATGAGAATAATACTCATCAACCTTTGTAAAATACTGTGATAAAAGATAAAATGCTCAGAATTATAAGAGTATTTCACAAAAATAGTTTCAAAACTGCTTTATCAAAACCTGTTACACGCTTTCCAACTGTCTTGGCATTCCACACTTAAGAGATTCATCTCTTAATTTCATTGAAAACTTTCATTTTCCTGCAAGTGTAAAAATCTCAATGCCAGATCCATACAACATGGAAATCTATGAAATGCCAAGGTAACACATGGTATTACAAAGTGTCTATTACAGGATGCCCAAAGCATTCTGTGACAGTCTTTATGGGACCTACCAGAAGGTGTCCTAGAAAAACCATATATATGTACCTCTCTAAAGCTAGCTGAAGTAAAGAGACTTTTAAGATCCACCATCAGGTGAATAATAAAAATGTACAAAGGACACACATGAGTGAGCACAGTGGGAAATAATATATGTCTGCTCTTTAAGACCGGTATTGGGTTTACTAAAAATGACAGTTACTCTGCTGGATCAGTAAATCAGCATAAAATGAGCATAGAAAAATGGAACAACTGAGTGGCTGATCTCTTGTTTTGTAGTCTCTGATTTCTGTTATGTAGTTATAGAATAATTGTCATTTATTTAGAAACATAAGTGCAATAAAAGCAGAAAAGGAATAATTTACGTAATATTCCTTTCTTTCCTTTCTTCTTATTTACTGTTTTCTCATTCCGAAGAAGACACAAGCAGTTTATGGAGCGCTGCAGGATCTTAAAGCCTCACATACAACTCGTTCATAGCTTAGGTGATATGTGCACCTCAGGTTTGCTGTCCTTAGAAGTGACAGCTCTCAGCAAAAGAACTTAGAAATTCTCCATGCTTGTTAATGGCTTTTTGATTGTTGTCATATTATTCGGTCTCCCAAATGTTAAGGTGGGTTCTCTTCTCAACTAAAACATGACCTAAAATCACAAGTACAGCCCAACAGACTTAATCCTTCAAAATGTTTGCCTCAATGAAAAGGAGAATATGTCTAACATGTAATTGTAGTTTTCCTACTTGTCAGGTTGGGAAGGTGAGGGCTGAGTGCTGTCAGCCAGTTGACTCCGTTGTTGTTACCATATAGCAGTACACGTTTGGTTGTCTTTTAGTAACTTACTACAGTGCGTAAGAGCAAAAGGCATTTCAGTGGTAGAAACAGTTGATGATCTGGCATGTATTTCCAAGCTGAATTCTTAGGGCACTTGGAATCAGGGAACCGTTTTTTTGAGGAAAACATTTTAAAGGATTAAGTCTGCTGGCCTTTACTTGTGATTCTCAGACTACCGTTTCTTTCAGCTTTTTTGTTCTGTTTAGACTTCTGTGGTATTGCCAAGTAGTGCGAGCAGCAGGAGTGAAAACGGGAGAAGGGTACGTGTGCACGCACCAAACTGTGAAGGCGTCAGTGACCCCGTGGGTTAAAGTTGCAGGGTGGGTCAGTCAGAAGCATTGGCCTCTCTGTCCCGCTGAAGATGTGGCGGGAACAGAGTCAGGGCCCTTCATCTCTGAAGGGTGCGGATTGGGTTTGACGTCCCTGGGATCATCCCCCTTTCCAAGGAGTTGCGAATAAAACCAGCAGGTCAGCATTTGAAACAACAGGGTTGGCACCTGAAGACTCGGCCTGGGGAACAGAAGAGCTGTTAAGAGCCTAACTTAGGTATAACCATTAATTGCTTAAAATTAATTGGAGTGAATCCAGTTAATTTAGCTCAGGCATATTGCACTGGGAGAGGACACCATTTCGGCTTGGGTTTGGGCTGCATGTAGGGGAGGAACAGTAAGCAGCTCTTGCCCTGAAATATGGCAAGTGTATGATGACATTAAAATAGAAGTTACGATCTGGGAAGTACTAGACACTGGGTCTTTTTTTAAGAGCAGCGTTTCCAGGGAGGAATTTTAATAACTCCAATTCTGGTAAAGTGCTACATGAGCTTTTTGACAGTTTGACAGAAGGGTTGCAAGTCAATTTGGTCATGTGTAGTCAATTTTTCTCATGCAAGTGTATTAGAGCAGCTAAATGCGCATCGAATACGAGCGGAACCGTTAGTTGCTGCGTGTAGTGTCTCTTGCCTGGTTAATAGAAAGATTTTCTTATCTGAATATAAATTGGATTTGCAAACTGGTTCCCATTGACAACAGCTGATAGTAAATAATTTTAACAGAAGAGAAATATTGATCCCCTTCATTAAGATCCTTCAATAACTGACTTTGTGTGGGGGGGTGTTTTGATTTTTCAGGATCAATACAAATTCTGCTATGAAGTGGCTTTGGAATACTTGAATTCTGGCTGACAGCATAAACAGCCCAGACAAAGTTCTGCCTTTCACCACTACAGACAAAGCAAGTCGCTTCGTGGTAGCCGTGTAGATGAGATGAAGACTTCTCAGTGTTATGCTTATACTGCTTTGTATAATTGGCTCTTTTTAAGAGCCCGAGAAGATGTTCATAAAACTGCTTGCACTGCCCGTTCTCCACTCTGATGCCGCTGCCTGACACCCATGCGCGCGTACACCAAACCACCTGGCAGTCGTTGGACACTGTATTCGTCCGTAGCCATTGATGTGGTGAAGCAGCATAGTCCTCTGGTAAATAAGAGAGCACAATTATATTCTTATGAAGGAATTTGTACTTTTCCGTTCTATTCCGTCGCCTGTGAATCTCAGTTACTGTCACAGCCTAGTGTACATTTCTGTTCTGTGGAGAATGCTGTCTGGCATTTTGATAATATATGATTTTAGTTATATTTGTATTCTAACGCGTGCATAATAAATGAATCGTATGTAGCTTTACCTGAACTAATGGAAAGACATGTACCAAATCACGTTAACGTCGTTGAGTTGTAATTTCTATCCACTTTGTACCATTTCAGAGAGAGAATCTTGATAGAAATACCGTTAGAAAATGCAAAATACAGGATGCTCAGATTAATATATCCAAAGCTTTTTCATTTGTTTATATTGTAAATATTTTTTGATTTCATCAAATTATTTATTCATTAAAATGAATTTTTTTGTGAAGCACAGTGAGTGACAATCATTTTTATTAAGCCCTGGAAACGCTTACTGTATGATAGTGTAAACATTTGTTTACCTTGTATGGATTCTCAGCTCAATAAATAATTACATACATGATAAAATCTCGTTTAATTTAATATCTCCTGGCATCTGAGTGCCTTCCACTAAGCCTCTTTTCAGATTAACTCTTGTAAATACTGAGCTACCTCCAGAGCGCGTTCCTTGTGCGATCCAGCCAATACCAAGCTGTGCCGTGCCCTTCCATAAAAAGAGGTGAATAGTGTGTTTCAAGATACACACGCACAGATACAGAGCCTGAAACCTGCCCCGCGGTACGAAGGAGAGAGGATGTTGGGCTTGTCGCAGTGTTCCCCCACAGCCCTGCGTGCGTTTGTTCCTGGGAAGAATGGGGAGGTAAGGCCTTGGGTTAGAGATGCCCATACTGGAATGACGGGATGGGGGGGATGTTAAAAAGTGAGTAAAACTGCTCTGTTGCTAGTGCTGTTCCCAGTTCTGCCAGTGGACAACTTTACACCATTAAAGCTCCTGCCTGTCCTGAGAAGGGCTGCACTGGACTTCCGTGGCACTGGGATGGTTCCCCGTTCTCCTGGGCGCTTGCCGGAGTTTGACCCAGCTGGGACCTGCCTCATGGATGCAGGAAGCAGAGCAACGAAGCAGCGAGGGAGGGGACTGAGCCAGCAGTGGCTTGCTGCAACGGTCGCCGGGATTACAGATCTCTCTTTCCCCCAACAGTATCAAGGAGTCGTTGCAGACGGAGCAGCTGCTCAGCACCGGAGGCTTCCAAAGCCGTGTGGAAACCCAGTGCGGGAAAGTGACGAAGTGCACAGTATTTCTGTTCTTGGAAGGATCCTTTTGACGTGTTAGCCATCTGGGATGGGGAGAGAGCTATGCAGGTGTGTCAAAGTCAGCACCTTTTGAGAGCCTCTAAGGGACCCAGCTTGGTCAGAATGACTAACAGCTTGTCAACTGCCCCTGCAAAACCACGGCAAGGTTCAGAGCCGAAGACGCGAGGATAGGCTTCCTCTGCAGCCGGAAAGCATCTCTCCTAAAATTCCTTTAAAATGTAACTGGCAGCCAGCAGCCCTTGCTATAAATTGCACAGAGGTGCTGAAGAACTCGGGAAAAAACAACCCCAACCCGGAGAAGAATGATGGTCCTTGGATCAACCCTCTCGCACTTCAGCCCATTGCAGAAAAGACTCTGATTCACTTGGAAATCTCTACCACCACATTCCTCACAACCAGCTTGACAGACCGGGAATGCCCACCAAGCATCCTGCTTTGTAATTGTGGGACAGTAAATTTTGGGTTCCGCCATTTATCGCAATAGGCATGCACATGTCCAGTATTTCCCGAGGCTTTCAAGAGTATGAGGCAGGTAAGTGTGCTGAAGGAACCCTGGGACAGAATCAACAGGAATCCTGGCAAGTTTTCCCCAGAAGACGACTGCCGGCATCTGCCAGACTTGGTTTCAGGTGCTGTACTCACAGACGTACTTGCACAGGTAGGTCTTGGAGGGGGAGGGGGGAGGAGACGAGGAGGGGAGAGTTCCGCAGTGTTTCTTACTGCTTTACTGTTGACTGTACTTTTTCTTTCTTCTTCTGACAGAGGCACAGGAATCCTGGCAAGTTTTCCCCAGAAGACGACTGCCGGCATCTGCCAGACTTGGTTTCAGGTGCTGTACTCACAGACGTACTTGCACAGGTAGGTCTTGGAGGGGGAGGGGGGAGGAGACGAGGAGGGGAGAGTTCCGCAGTGTTTCTTACTGCTTTACTGTTGACTGTACTTTTTCTTTCTTCTTCTGACAGAGGCACGGTCGAACCCCTGCTGCAGAGTCCGTGTGATGTTGTCCCAGAAGGCATTCTGTGAACTACAAAACTGGAGCCGTCTAAAGACGGCACCACAGCATCTTTGTGTCCTCACTCTCCTACTACAGCTATCAATCCATACAAATGACAGAGAAATCCAGGCTTAGGGAAAACAGCATTTTGGCAAGAAGAGGAAGAAAAAAACAGACGAGGACTTCAGGATTCGGGAATAGAGGAAGCCTAAGGAATCTAAAACGAGCAGAAAGAAGAGATGAACGTGGGGGGCAGTTAGTCAAGAAGCAGCTTCTGAAAGTTCCCTGGAGGGTGGCGTTTTGGAGGAGACAACAGAAAGAAAACAGTGGCGACAGCCATTTTAAGTGTTCATAAACCAGCCTCGCTTTCCGGAAGTTACACAGTCACGAGCCCGGTGCAGCTGCAGGACTTGCAGAGACCTCAGTCCTAGGTTGGGAGGAACAGAGGAAGGGATGTTTTCCTCAGTCCCCATATGCAGGAGGTACATAAACGGATAAAGAGATATTTTCAATGGTTAGCCGTACATATCGCCAAACTCATCATCTCGCCGGGACTTGAGGTGGGTGACTTTTTGCTAAGCTCTCCCAGAAGAGCAGCAGTGGGGGTGGCGAGAGAGGTGATCATATGCAGGTATCTGTTTCCTATTAATTGCAATGCTCCCAACTGCTTCCCGGGCTGCTTTATCCTTAAAAAGAGTCCGTCAGCGGCAGGGTAGCTGCACAGAGCATGTACCCAAAGCTTAAGGACTACATATCCTAAGCTTAAAAAACAACCCAAACCATAGAAAATGCAATTGATGCTAAAATACAAAACCTTCCTACCCAGCTGTGCGCAGTGTGGCTCAAGAGGGTCTTGGTGGCACAAAGACTTGATCTGAAGGCACTCTGCAGCACCAAGACCGCCTCCATTTCGGATTTCTCCTTCGGCTGGTTAGGACTCACCTTTAATAACTCTGAAATGATCGCTTCTTGTTTCACTGGGTGTGGGTGATAGCCCAGATCTCACAGCTGACTGTATGAGCCCATTCTCAGTCAACACTGGCCCTTGAATAACGTATAGCAGGAGACCAACGGATTCTTCTTCTTTGAGGTGTGGCAATGAAGTTAAATTGGCACTTCCAGCAGCAGCTGTTCCAGGCAGCTCCTTCCGGGGGGGTGTGGAGAGGCTGTAATGGTAGTAGCGAACCTAAAGCTCCCTGGCATTAGTCACTCCAAAACCAGGATCAGCCGCCGAGTCTCCCTTCCCTTGCGGCTGTTCTGTGTGTGTGTCCCCCGCCCAAAATCAAGGAGGGCTAAAGGAAAGTCAGTGATTTGAAAGTTTACTTGAGGTTTTACAGCCTTGTTAATTTTCTGATTCAAAGGTAATTTGGTTGCTCTGGCTCCCACAGTACCTTCTCCAAACAGTTGTGCATTTGCCCTTCAGAAACAGCAAGGTATGCAGGCGGATCACTGCAACAGAATGATTTGCCGTATCATTTTACATTTATTGTTAGTTTCACACTTATTTTATCAACTTGGAGCCTTGGACTACAAAAATCTCCTGCAGCCCCTATCTGATGCCAGACACTCTGCTTTCTTAAAAGTTAGGAATAGCAGAAAAACATACAGCCTAGTTCTGTGGTTTGATGCCTCTTCAGGAAGACAAAGACAACTGTCATTTTTGGGGACGAGTACCAGTAAAACCCAACAGAACATGTGAATAAAAACTAAGGCCGTTTCTATTGGAGCTGGTTGGTTTGTTTTTCAGAGCCTAGGCCTGGTCTGTAGGGTGCAATGGCAAGCTGAGGGGCGTTTGCTTTGCCTCAGCCATTCACACGCTCTGCCTGTGCCCCATGGCCCCAACTCCGCTGCCGGCCCTCCCCTTGGGTGTCCTAGCCCGCTTCAACGATGGCACCTTCCCAAAGCCTTGTCAACCCTTCGCAAACTGCAATAAGCAGCAACAGCAAAACAGCTCCCTCGCCCTTGCTGGGTACTTCCCACATGGCTTTCCTGTGGACGTCTGACAAGGCAGCTCCGATGCTGGTTACCTCCCCAGGCTTACCCCGTCTCCTGCTCAAAGCCTCATTTCCAACCCCTGCCTGCCCATACCCTCCCCAGCGCGTCTCTCCGTCTCCTCAGCCACTCTCAGGGCAAGGCTGTCCCACCTCCCTGGCCCAGCCTGGCTGGGCAGAGCAGGAGAGCTGCTGTGCTCGGCTGCTTTCAGGTCCGTATCTTCCATCGGAGTCTCCAAAGGTCCTCCTGGAAGATATATTGCCCTTGGGTGCCACGGTCCTGCCTCTCACCCCAGAATCATGTATAACCTGCCACATGAGCGTCCATCCCGTGCACACGATGCTCTTTCTGGGCAATATCACTTCAGATGGGTGGAAAGGAGATGGGAGGCTGGAATAGGGTGGGGGTCTGTAAACATTATTTTGTTGCATATTGTTGATAGTACTCGATGCAGAAAGGCACAGAAGAGGTGGGCTTTGACAGCCAAGAGAGCGATGCTTGCTGTAGCTTGTCTAAGGGAATGTGTCAAGGGAGATTAATATCTCATGTTCACTGACAGCCTTTCCAAGCCATGGTATTTTTACTCCTGAAACTCTTCTATTGATGTGTTTTCAGTACCAGCTAGAAGACTTTTAATTGTATCTTTGCAGTTGTGATATTTCTAATAACTGGGTTTTTTTTGCGAAGATGTGCTCAGGGGCCACAATTAAGGCATGTCTCATTCAGGCTAGACATGCATTAATACTGCTGCTAGGCCTAAGGAAACGCCATCAGAACTCGTAGTCCTACAAACATTTACATTAATAACCTCTTGTCTAGTCCCACTCGCACAAAATAATCAATCTGATACACACATTTTGCATGTGATCTCATCAGTCCTTGTATATGTCATTCATGAGGCTGTGTTGGGTCTGGCTGGGATGAAGTTAATTTTCTTCGCAGCAGCCCATATGGTGCTGTGGTTTGGATTTATGACTAAAACAGCGTTGGTAGCACACCAGCATTTTAGCTATTATTGCTCAGTGTTTGCACAGCATCAAGGCTGCCTCTGTTCCTTGCTCTGCCTCCATCCCAGTGAGCAGGTCAGGAAGTTGGGAATGGACGCAGCTGGGACAGCTGACCCCAACTGACCTAAGAAGGGATAGACCACACCATATGATGTCACACTCCACAACAAAATGGGAGCGGAAGCAATTCTAGGAGGCTGGCTGGGCATTGGTCCGCTTGTGGGAGGTGGTGGGTGAGTGCATCAGTTGCGGTGGGGAGGGGT